CATACATCAGACCATATACGTTGCTTTTTAGTTATGTGTTTGCTTTTTTGTGAAGTGCTTGGGAATGGCCCTTGGGATCTTTTCTTGACTCCCTTAAATCTTTGTAAACTCTAATGACTATTTGGGTTAATTATTATTTTCCATTTGTGATAACATTATAACTAAAATGTTGTATTGATCTCTGCGTTYGACAGCATATGGTAATACCGGCTTCAGTGTTTGTCTTCTGCATTCAGCTGGGTGTCTTAATGGAAATGGTCGCATAATAGCAAAATGAAAGGAAGATTTGTCTCAGATAATCTGTTGTCAGGCCTGAAACTTCTAGATTTTGCTCTTGAAGTATAATTTCTTTTGGGGCAATTTTCTCATTTTCAAATAACTGCTCACAAATAACGAGTAACAAGGATGATTTTATTACTGCCTTTTTAGCATTTAGGTAATTTTGGGAGCTTCAGCAAATGCCTATGTCCATGGGAAAATACTGAAGTACTTTTTTTTTCTTTTTTTTCCTTTCCTGTGGGAACCTCCCTTTTTTTTTTTTTTAAATAGAAGTTGTATCTAAATATCTATGAGTAAATATGTATTATTCCAGGAGTTTTTGTAGATGTCAATTCTTGAGTTCTGTGTAAACTGCCCTACAAATACCCGTGATCAAGTGAACAGAGGAGTGCACAGCGGTGGGTTCTAAGGCTTCGTCTGCTAGTAGTGATAAGTAGCAAGTAACCTGCTGGCAAGGACCATGGGATCACAGAATGGCTGAGRTTGGAAGGGACCTCTAGAGATGATCTAGTCCAACCCCCTGCTCCAGCAGGGACTCCCAGAGCACGGGGCACAGGGCGGCATCCAGGTGGGTTTGGAAGATCTGCAGAGAAGGAGACTCCACAACCTCCRTGGGCAGCCTGTGCCAGGGCTCTGGCACCCTCACAGGGAAGAAGTTCTTCCTCATGTGGAACCACGTCTGTCTGAGGCTTAGCGAGAGGGGAGCCCTCCTGGTTCAGGGAGGTTGCCCGTCCCGTGGGAGCCCATAAGCGCCCGCCTTCCCGTGGGCTGGTTCCGCGGGGTTGTGGTGCCGGAGCTGCAGCCGGCCCCGCTCCTCGTGCCGGCTCCCGGGGAAGCCATGTGCGTGCCGCCCGGCACGGGGGCAGCGAGGGCGCCCRGGAATCCCCGCGGAGGCCCCAGAGCTGCCGCAGAGGCTGCTCCGTCAGMCGGGAGGAGAAATCATGGCAATGTTGAATTTAGAGGTCAAAACTAGTGYGCCGTGCACTTATGGATAATTCATGAAGGTTTATAATAATGTGTAATTACTGTGACTTGAAATTACTGAAAGTGGKTTTTTTTTGAATCTGGTGTTGTAATATGTCAACAATTTTGTGGTGATGCTTTCTTTTGAGATTTTTTACCTTTTTTTTCTTGAGTTGACATGTTTGCATTTTGTATTTAGATTTCCACTTAAACACAAGAGGAGCAGTACGGCAGCCATTCTTATTTCAAAAATAAAGAAATTGCAAAGTCAGAACACGGGCAGTTTTCCTGGTCCTGTGTTGTTCTTTGCCTGTTTTCACTTCTGGAGCCAGGGTGACGGCAATACGAGAAGCATGGTGGAATTGAAATCACTTACCAGTTTCTTGCAACGCACCGTTCGGTGTTCRTAAAGGTACAATTAGTAGTGAGACACAGTCACTTAAAGCAGTTAGAACTCATGTGTCTTGCGTGTCACCTTCAGGCCCATCTGTCTTAGGGAGAGGAGCCTCTCCAAGGGCTCTGAGTGCACTTCTCTTGTTGCAACCACCCTAACATTTTTTCCTCCTCAAAATCCCGAGCAAGGGCTCAGAAGACAGTCAGGTTTCCTGCTGTGCCAGGGACCTTTGTGAACGGGCAGGTGCCGCTGTCTGCAGGTCGGTGTGGGCACATGAGCGTTCGTGCCAGCAAGCCGGCCCCCCTCTGCATGGGGTAATAAGTACCAGAGGTGTACAGAGAGCTGAAAAACGAGTGTTTCCCAAGAAAAAACCAAAAGGGGGGAGGATGTATGTGTGCAGCCTGCCCTCTTACCTTCCTAAACCTCTTTCTTGTTCTTTCAAGAAGATTGGGTAGAGGTGGAGTTGTAACTTCTCYTTGCCAGCATCCCTTCTCTGGAGAGAAGCTTGCAACGCAGCGCAGGTCTTCGCTGGGCTGGAGATTTCATTGAACAGCAGTGAAAGTTTACAAGTGGAAGGTAGCCCACGAGGACTAAAAGATAYTGCCATGGGTATGGCTCCCTCTCAGTTGATAGATGTAGTTGTGCTTACTAGTCGAGGACACATTTCTGATGAGCTTAAATGAGTGCTCCATAAAATAAGCTTGGACTTTTTTTTTTTTTTTTTTTTTTGAGTGCCCAAGATAAAACTTTTCATACCTAATGGCCTGCTACAAGTAAGGCTTTTGGATGTATAAAATACACTTAAATATGCATTAAACTCACTTTTCCTGATACCTTTTTTTCCCTCCCAGACTATCCCACCTGTTTTCCTTTGAAAATTTACTCAGTGACCAACTACTGTATTTTCCTATTCTTTTAAAAGCGGGATTCTTTTAAACCCTCTAGAGAGAATAGTCCCAAAAGGAGAGATGGGTGAGGCTTTTAGACAGAGGAAAGAATGGAATTTATTTTCACTGACCACTTTTGAAGTACCTAATACTGTGTRTGCTACGTTACTATTGAAATAACCTTTATTATTTTTAAAAATGTTTACTTATTCGAAAAAGCAAATCAGAGCTGAAAGACACRTGCTGGAATAGCTCAGAAAACCACTTCCAACACCTTCCTTTTTGACTCCCTTTTGAGAGGTGGTTTATTCCCTTTCACTTCTTTTCCTTCTGAAGTGAATGCCCCTCTAAAAATGTAACGGAAACTGGACAGACTCAGGAACCAGGTGCCTGAAAAAATACAGAAAAACAGGACTTCTAACTAAGAGAAAAATTTCTGCAAGATTAAGCTACTGCTGGGAGCAGGTATTAATTGCAACATATGTGCAACAGTCCATCTCCTGTGCTATAGAATTTCCCTTCTTCAGCTAAGTATGTTTTTGATAGGATCAAAGATTTTATAGCACAAACAAGTCCAGTCATGGCCCATTTTAGGGATTTAAAAATCTGTAAAGATAAGATCTCTGCAAAGAGTCTGAAGTTTACTGTGTCAGATAAAACAAATCAATGGGAGATTAATTGAAATGTATTATATGAGGGGCACTAGGTTTTAGTTAGTACTGCAAAAGAAACATTTTAGGAGGATGTACTGAGGCTTCGGTGGTGTACCAAGCCAGAATTGTGTTGTCATTCATTCTTCAACTGAGGTGCCTTTTGCCTAATCACTTTCTCAGTGTTAGACCGGGCCTATTAACTTTCATAAAAGTGACTTTGAGCAAGTAATAGGAGAGGTTAAAAACAGCCATCAAAAAACTCCATCATTTAAGAGTATGCTAACTTTGGAAAAGATTTTTGTGATTTCTTTACCAAAGTGCAGAATATCCAAATATCCTGTTTGGAACTTAAAGTTATTAAGTTCCTTTTGTTCACAGAGACAGAATCCTCTATTTTTAGGGGGATTTGAGTGCTTTGTATAATTTATTGAAGACTGACATAGAAGAAGGCCCTGAAAAAGGAAAATTCCAAAGTCTGCCCTGCTGATGGTCATTTTGGTTTGAGCTCCAAAGCGCTCCAAGACTTTGCAGTGTGTGGTTCCCATCCTGACAGCAGTTCTGAGCCTGGGTTTAAGATCGACACAGCTTTGAGTTTAGTTGCAGTGAGTTAGGTTATTACCATGTATTACCATGGTGATGAAGGCAAATTTTGCTAACTTTAATTTTTCATGTTTGCTTATTGCTCACTAAATGATACGCATCTTTATTAATAAGCAGTTAGAGTAGTTGGAATTCTGCATCTCAGCTGCAACATAATTAGCATGGCAATATTTTAATTAAGAAGTTGAATTGATATAAAAATGCTTAGATAACATTTTCAATTAAAATATAAGCGGAAGTAGCAATTGTACAATTTGTATACACACACACACACACACACACACACATCCATATATATATATATATATATATATATATGTTAGATTCACATATTTTTTTCCTTGAGTCCAGTACTGAGTTGGTGGCTGGGGCAGGAGCTACCCGCATTACTGTAACAAGAGCACCTTTCATAGATACCGTGTAATTACACTTTGGCACTGAAATCTGCTGGGGAGACCTGTCACCAATACTARATAACAGCAGCAACAGAGACAGGGAGAAGGGTGAGGAGAGATGGGATGTGCTTAGAGGTTTGCTTTTCACTGCTTGCCCGTGATGTGGTAAATGGTTGTCTTCTGCTCTGTGTCCATACTGCTAGTGTGAGGTTAAGTTCCCTTCCTGCTCCGTAACTAGTAGTATTCCTGTTGGGAAGGTGTGCTGAAAATCACAGCGCCGCAAGTCGCTGCTCTGCACGTGTTCTGGAAGGGGAGCTTTGAAGGGCAAACAAGACTCTGCAGAGATGTCCTCCCTGTCCCCACGTGCACGTATGCGCCTGCAAAACCCCGTTGCAGCGGGAGGATGGAGCAGTCACTGGCAGGCCTCAAACCTGCCTCTGGAAACCTGCACGATGATGGAGATGTGAGAAATTCTCCTGCACRTGAGCGAGAGGGCTGCGGAGAGCGGGAACAGCTGGGAAATGCGTTGCTCTCTCCTCTCCAGATTTCCTATAGGTGTTGCTGAAGTGCTGCCTTTGAGGGGGGAGACGTGAAAAGAAGTTTCTGTAGGAAGGGTAGTTGCTGGGGTTTGTAGGACCACACTGCATATCGAGTTCGGGATTTGTTCTGATTCCTTCTTCAGGATGGCAGAAACTGATGGAATTTGTAGGGTTCGAGCAGATGGGAGATTAGAGCTACCCAAATAGCAAAGCTACCTGGGACTTGGGAGAGGAAGGTTGTAGGAAGGAATGTGCTTCTGCGCAGAGCCGTGCAGAGCTCCAGGAGCTCACAGACAAACCAGGAGGTCTGGGCACGTTACTGTGCAGTGTTAGTCTAGGGAGGGCTTCATTCTGCTGGAAGCTGCTCCCACGCTGTGTCAGGCTCCAAATGAGTCCAAACTGATASAACCATTTCCTTACTGGAATCTCTGTAGGAACTGTTCTGAGACCCTGTGCATTTTCCGCTATGTTGGTARTGAATTCCTATTTTTATGGGGTTACACAGGAAAGCATACTCAGCAAATGCAAAAATTGTAATAAAAATTACTGCCTTTCACTRCTTAGAAACATCAGCAGTACCTCAGGACGTTTCTTTTTAACTCACCCAGAGATATTTTTGTTTCTTTGTTTGCCAACAGTAAAGGACACCAGTTGCACTTGTATATTTGTGCTGGTGGTAAGGGCAGAAACCAGATAATAGCTTATATATTATAATTAGATGTTAAGTACTGAAAATCTTTTATTATCAAACGTGGTATCTCCACAGGCATTGAGAAAATTAATTTTAGAGAATCTAAATAAAGAATTTATGAAGTCGTGTGGCATGTGGGTGGGATTTTTTTTTGTTCGTTTGTTTTCTTCTAAAGCAAAAGAGAAGGAAAAAATTAAAAGAAGCAGCCTTATGCCCATAATTTTTAGAAGAAACAAAAATAATATGTGATAGCTGTTTTATTTTTCTGGTGTGCTGCATTACTTCAGGATGGTCTTATCTACCTAAGTGTGTGATTGATTGCCCTCCCAGAGAATCGACTGTGTACTGGGCAATATGCTAACACAGAGGGAATTCGGGACCAGCATCTTTTCTATGGTTGTACACATGATGCTTTGCCATACTTGCTATAATGATTTTAAAACATTTCTGTCACATGCTTGCAAAATGCCATTTATTTCCCCCGTATCGCAGACTTGCGAAGAGGGCTCTGCAAAGCCCTCTTTCCTCTTGCAGTTCTCTTCAGCTTCTCCGCTGGGATTCTCATACACATCTGATAAAAATCAGGGTACTGCTTGGACTCCTCCACCCCCAAATTTTATTACCAAAAAAGCTTTTGGGTTGYCAAACCACAGTTAAATCATCAGCCAATGCCTTAAGCAAAGTTGTCAGTGACAAGAAGCTAATCAGCTAGATCACTTACTGATGGAGTAAGAGCAAAGGGTGTTTGCTTTGTGCATCCTCTGTGATAATGTTGTGCTTTGCTTTTAAGGGTGGAAGAAAGATTTGCTCTGTGTCCAGGGATAAGCCCATCCACTTGCTCCATGGACGTCATCCTGCATTTTGTGATGGGCAATCTCAGAGGATCGATTAGAGGTTGGAAGTCGAGGCGGGGAGTGTGTGTGCTGCCAGCGAGTGCAGAGCTCTGCCTCTGTTGGTGTTTCGGAGCGGGGTCAGTTTTGGAGCAGCTCACCCCATTGCTCCTGTTTCCCAGACCCGCTGCCTTGATTTCCAGGGTGGTTTTGGTCTGTGCAGACCAGGCTCCTTTCACAGGAAACGGGACCATCACACCCCCTTCCTTGCACCGAACGCCSTGTAACCCCTCGTAGGACATTGGGACCTAGGGCAGGGGGATCGGAATCATGGGTCATTTTGGCACCTTTGAATCCTTTTGGTAGAGTCTGATTCSGGGAACTGAACTAAGTTTAAATAAATCCTGAGCATCTTATAGCGTAGATGTAGGAACCAACAGGTGTCTTTTGATCTGTTCCAGTTGTTCCAAACTGCTTATGTAGATGCAGTCTGATGCCATTTATTGATTAAAAAGAGCGAAAAWGCCTGGTAATGACTAGTTGTCAGGGGATCCTGCTGTTGTCGGGTGTTTGGAGATAGATGATAATGTTTTCATGTCTGCTTCCGTGGCAGCTTGTATTTTGGGTGGAACTGGACTCTAGACCTTCAGCTGAGCGATGCACTCTTAGGTGAGGTGCAAGGGATGTATTTTGAATGTTCTTGCTTGTGTTTTTGGTCTGACTGGTTTTCAAGGGCAAGGGCAGGCGGAGAGAGCAGAGGAAACAGCTTTGGAGCTCTGGTGCCGAGGTTGTGATTATAGCTCAAAAAAGAAAGATTTGGATTTGGAGGTGATGATTGCAGTTCAAAAGGCAAGCAATTATTTTATAATCTGCCTAACAACCAAAAAAGCCCTATGCTTCTTTCTGCAGGAAAAGCAGACTGCAGAGTGTCTCTGTTCCTGTGAATAGGAGGGAACACGTTTCTTAGTGCTGAAGTTGCTCCTGTGCTCAATCYGCCCATTTGGGGACATTGTGCTCCTGTTTGAGCGGGCCATACATTTCTTTTTACAATAAAAATAACTCCTCAACAACAGAACATTGTTGCAAGGCAGACTTGTGAATTATCTTCATTTTTTGAGCAGTGATATATATATTTAATAATATTTTGTTCATCTTCTGGTCCAGCAAGCCTTTCTGGGCTGAAATATATTACAGGAATACAAAATGAAAGATCAGTCTTGTGTTTTTCCTTTTCCTCTGGAGCTTCTCCAGGATTCAGCAAGGCCTTGGTGTTGACCCTGTGCCCTGGTTGTAAAAGCCTCCCCGCGCAGCAAGGGCCTGGCCGGGCCGCCCGCCCCGCCGCGCCAGCGACGGACACGGTCTGGTGCCTTCTCCTTTCCCC